CCCCCCTGGGCCCCAGGGTGGTGTGGGGAAGGTGGGTGCGGATTTTTCCCCCTCCTCAGCCCCCCCCCCACATGAGGGACTTTTCCCCCCTTTCCCGGGGGGGGGGGGGCGGGTCTCTGACCTCAATGTACATGAGGCACAATGAGAAGTAGTAACTGGGCTCCTGTCTGGATCTAGACTCCTCCCTCAGGCCCAGGAGTCAGACCCAGCTCTCCTTCCTCAAACCCAGCGGTCTAGCCTCCACTGGGCCCAGGCTAGTGGCCTCTGAGCCCTGGCTCCCTTTCTTTATGTCTGTCCTGCAGAAATGCCAGGTAAACAGTTGGAGGAAGGGCCAATGGAGGTGGCCGCTGTGGAGGATGGAGGTGATGAAGGCCTGGGGGGCCTCACAGTCGAGGAGCTTCAGCAGGGCCAGGAGGCCGCCCTGGCCTTGGAAGACATGATGGCGCTGAGTGCCCAGACCCTGGTCCGCACTGAGGTGGAGGAACTGTATAAGGAAGTACGGTCCCTGGGCCAGGGCCGGTACGGCCGTGTCCTGCTGGTTACTCACCGTCAGAAAGGTACCAGGATCCGGGGACAGGCATAGGGGAAAAATGAAGGCAGGGGTTTGGGCTCTGAGGGAAGTTAGTGAAGACTGGAGTCTTAAGCCTGAATCAGACCTTTTGTTCCTATTTCCAAGCTGTGTGTTTTGTTGAGTTAGTTTAACCTCTCTGAACCCAATTCCTCCTTTGAAAAAATAAGCAGCCTATATAATAATTCTCAGCACTCGGGAAGCTGAAGCAGGACTGATGGGAGCTGGAGGCCAGTCTGGAATCTATTTGAGTTCCACAGCAGGACCCTGTCTCACACAGTCAAAGCTGGGTGCGGTGGCAGGTACCTGTAATCCCAGTACTCTGGAAGTAGATACAGTAGCTATAGGCTAGCCTGTTTCAAATAAAATCAAGAGGGCCAGTGAGATGGCTTAGCAGGTGAAAGCCCTTGCCAGAAAGTCTGACCATCTGAGTTCAATCCTCAGAACCCACGTAATGGAAGGAGAAAACTGACTTTCGCAAATTGTCTTCTGACCACACAGACACACAGAGAGACACAGACACAGACAGACAGACAGACACACAGACACACAGAGAGACACAGACACAGACAGACAGACAGACAGACACACACACACACACACACGTCAAAAATAAAGGCCAGAAGAAAAAGGAAAAATCAAGTAATGATTTGTACTTATGTGTGTCTGTGTGTGCATGCCAGGTGTGTGCAGGTGCCTAAAGAGGCCGGAAGAGGGTTGTCCGATCCCCTAGAACTGGAGTTGCAGGTGGTTGTGAGCTGTCAGACCGAAGGTGTACAGGGCCAAACTCAGGTCCCCTGGAAGAGCAGCAATTGTTCTTAATCACTGAGCTATCTCTCCAGCACCTCTTTCTTTCTTTCTCCCCTCCCTCCCTCCCTCCCTCCCTTCCTTCCTTCCTTCCTTCCTTCCTTCTTTCCTTCCTTTTTTCTTTGACCCAAGGTCTCATGTAGCCCAGGCTGACCTCAAAGTTGCTATGTTGTCAAGGATAGCCTTGAACTCCATACATATCGAAAGATGACCTCAAACTCCTGATCTTCCTACCACTACCTTCTGAGTGCTGGGATTATAAGCATGCACCATCATGTCAGTTCTCTAGGGTGTTTTCTATGCACATCTACCTGTAATAAAGGTAGATAACAGGTACATATATGTACCTGTTAACAGGTAAGCATAGCAACAATAGCCAATAATAAAATGGGATAATGCTGACAATATTCTGCAATAAAATTAAATAGAACTTACTCTTGTACTGGGGGCTCTGAACTCCTGATCCTCCTGCCTCCACCTCCCGAGTGCTAGGATTACAGGCATGCATCACCACATCCAGTTTGTGTGTTTGAGTGTTTGTTTGAGATGGGGTCTCACTATATAGTCCCAGCTGGCCTAGAACTCACTATGTAGAGCAGGCTCACCTTGAATTCAGAGATCTGCCTGCCTCTGCCTCTCAAGTACTGCCACCATACCTGGCCACCACATCCAGTGTTGGGTGGTGCTAGGGACTGTTCTTGCTAGGAAGCACTCTACCTAGAGTTACCCCCAGTCTTGGCGTCATTATTAAGTAAAATACAGAATCCTTGAACACAAGTTTGTGAAAATAGTTTACCTTGGAAGCACAACTTTAATCCCAGCACTTGAGAGACAGAGGCCAGCCTGCTCTACATAGTGAGTTCCATCCAGGCCAGTTGGGAATACAGGAAGACCTTGTCTCAAAAAAAAAAAAAAAAGGACATTGGGTATTCCTCCCTTGGAGGTCTTTGAAGTTTCAGGAGTTCCTTCTCACTTTCCCTTAATAAATCTGCTCTGCTTAAAAAAAAAAAAAAACAAGTCGACCATCTAACTGAGGTGTCTACTATGTGACTAACAGGTAGGAGTGTGAGGTATGGCTTCCTGAACAAAGGGATGGTTCACGTTCATGTCTAGGTAGGTGAGATTTCATCACTACTCAGAGCAGGACACAATTTTTAACTTAACTGTTTTGTTTTCTGTTGTTTGTTTGGGGGACCTGTTTGGAACCCAGGGCCTCACACGCAGTGAGAAAGTGCTCTATCATTGATCTATTTCACTACCTCTTTGAATTGTTTATTTCTGGAGTTTTTCAGTTAATCTTTTGGGACCAAATTATAGATGGAGAGAGCACTGTATATCAACGGCTTTTGTTTCCGAGGTCACTGGTAGGGAAGACAAAGATACCTCTCCACATTGTTTTATATCTGTTGGGTTTAGTAAACACCCTGCAACTCTGCTAGGACAGCCTTCCTGGCTTATATGGTGTCTTCCTGATGAGAATTCACAGCCCCAGATCTTCCCAAGGAACAGGGATACTGTGGGTCAGCTTTGTGGACAACCCGAGTTCATATCACACCTTCACAGCCCTGTGCTGGGTGACTCTGAGGACTCAGGTGCTTCAGGGAGCTTGCAGGGTGTACAAGCAGAGAGAGGGTGCCTGGGTGTTGGAATGTGCCAGGAGTGCTGGGCATGTCAGTGCTTGTCTGTGATCTCAGCACTCCAGAGGCTGAAGCAGGAGGATTGCTGTGAGTTCAAAACTTACCTGTGCTACATAGTGGGCTGCAGACCATCCAGGGCCAAATAGCAAGACCCTGTCTCAAAAAAAAAAAGCCCATTAGTTGCAGAAATTTTATTTCTTTGTGTTTTTGGAAGCTAAGAAGGTGAGATAGAGCTGTCAAAAGATTTCGTTTCTTTCCTTGACTTGTGAATGACTATCTTCTGCTCTGCTCTCTCCCTGTGCTCCCACATGGCCATCCCTCTGTGTGTCTGATTCCTAATCTCCTCTTCCTCAAAAGATACTAGTCAGACTGTAGTGGACTCTACCCAGATGACCTCATTTTACTGCTGAAGAAAGATCTAGGGTTGGGGATGTAGTTCAACTGGTAGAGTGCTTGCCCAGTATGTACAATGCCCTGGGTTCCAACCCTCAAACTGCATAACTTGGGCATGGTGGTGCAAGCCTTGAATCCCAGAATTTAGGAGGTAGAGGCAGGAAGTTAAAAGTTATCCTTGGCTATATAGTGAGTTTGAGGCTAGCCTGGGCTACATGAGACCCTGCCTTAGGAAAAAAAGACAAAAACCCAGAGCTGAAGATAGAACTCAATGGTAAAGTGCTTGTCTAGTATATATGAGGCCCTAGATTCAGTCTCTAGCACACACACAACAACAACAACAATACTTTTTTAAAAGGCAGGGACCTTTAGAAATGGTTCAGCAGTTAAGAGTGCTTGCTGCTGTCTTCCAGAGAACCTGAGTTTAGTTCTCAACACCCATGTCAGGCAGCCCACAATCTCTGTAACTCCAGCTCCAGGAAATTTGACACCCTCTTTTGGTGTCTGTTGGCACACACCTGGCATACACATATATACATTGAAAAGATCACCTACTGATGGGCATGGTGGTGCATGCCCTTAGTCCTAGCACTTGGGAGGCAGAGGCAAGCAGATCTCTGAGACTGAGGCCAGCTGGGGCTACAGATAGGCTCTGTCTCTTAAAAACAAAAGAAAATGAAAATGATCACCCATGAGTTTGAGACCAGTGTGGTCTACACAGCGAGTTTCAGGGCAGCCAAGGTTTCTTAGAAAGACCTTGTCGCAAAGAAACAAAAAAATTAAAAAAGAAAGATTCTGTCTTTGAATACAGTCACAGTCTGGGATTCTAAGAATTTGGATTCCATTGTTTGAACTTGAAGGGATGTGATTTGAGCCACAACAGAGAAGAGGGGGGAGAGAAAGAGAGAGAGAGAGAGAGAGAGAGAGAGAGAGAGAGAAACAGAGAGACAGAGACAGAGAGAGACAAAGGGGGGGGCGAGACCGTCAAAGCGGAGGGTGAGAGCTAGGGCATTAGCTCAGAAATAAGAGTGCTGGCCTCAAGTATGTGAGGTCCTAGACTCAATCCCCAGTGCTGACAAACACAAAAGCAAACAACAACAACAACAAAATGTAGGGTGATGGGAAGCCAAGGTGTCTGGAGGGGTGCCTCTGCATCAGGCTGGAGTATGTAGTCTAGAAGTCTTTTCCGAATGGGATAACATCCTTAAGAAAAGGACCTGTTACCCAGTGATTTGAATATTTTCTCCAGTTTCTCAAATATATCTTTGTGTCAGGCATGGTGGTCCACAGCTATAATCTACCTGGGAGGTAGAGGCAGGGCATCAGGGGTTCAAGATCATCCTCCATCCTCAGGTATATATCGAGCCAGAAGTCAGCTTGGGGTACATGAGACCCTGTCTTAAGAAAAAAAACAACCGGGAGTGGTGGTACACACCTTTAATCCCAGCACTTGGGAGGCAGAGGTAGATCTCTGTGAGTTAGAGACCAGCCTGGTCTACATACTGAGTTCTAGGCCAACTGGGGCTACTGGGAGACCCTGTCTCAAAAAGACCCCACACACACAAAAACACCTCATACATGGGATTGGTATCATGGGGAGCCAAACAATCATTCCAGATTCAGTTTCTATCTACCTTATTAATGGAAAAGCAGAGAAGACATAGTACTATCGCTAGCAGGAGCAACAGAGGTCATGTTGATAGGGTAGGCTTGGTAGACAGGCAGGGATTGGGAAAGGAAGAGGCATTTGGGAAACAGTCCATCCTGAAGGCCAGAAGGAGGGCGGGACAGCTGGCCTGAGTGACCCTAGACTCTCACACACCTCTGATACCTATCCTGTCACTACCCCTGTCCAGGTACACCCCTGGCATTGAAGCAACTCCCAAAGACCTCTACGTCCCTCCGTGGTTTCCTGTATGAGTTCTGCGTGGGCCTCTCGCTTGGCACGCATTCGGCCATTGTGGCAGCCTATGGCATTGGCATCGAGTCAGCCAACTCCTACAGCTTCCTGACAGAACCTGTTCTCCATGGAGACCTCATCACCCTCATCCAGCCCAAGGTGGGTAGGTGAGCCCTGAGCATGCCCTCAGAAGCCTTACCAGGACTCCCGGGAAAGCTCCAAACAGCATGGGCCTCCAGAATCATGTTCACTGCATCTGCATTGGGTCACACTGGGCCTCACATTGGCTCGACTTATGGAATTGTTAGGCCTCTTTGGATTTCATTGACTTCACAGAATTAGCACTCTATACTGTTGAGATTAACTAACCCTCACAAGATCATAGTACACTCTGCTGAGATTAATGGGCTTCATGGGCTTACTGGGATCCGTCTGGGATCCCAGGCTTCACTAGACTTACAGATTCATATTAAGCCTCAAGAGTTCTCACAGGTTCAGAGGACTCTCAGACTTAGCTAGGCCTCATAGGCTCATGCTGGGCTTCCATGTCCCCCCAGGCTCACATGATTCCTAGGCTCAACTAGACCTCACAGACTCATATTAAGCCTGGAAGGCTCACAGACTAGGCCTCACAGGATCATAGGCCTCAAAACTCATACTAGTCCCCACAGGCCTCAGAGGTTCACAGGACTCACAGGCTGAGACCTTACCAGGCTCACAGACCTTATCAGATAACACTAGGCCTCATGAGAGTCGCACGTCTCACACATTTATGCGTGGGCCTCACCAAGTCACATGAGGCCCTCAGCAGCTGAGAGCAGTTGCTCCTGACCACCTTTTCCCTGCAGGTAGGCCTTCCACAGCGAGCAGCCCAGCGCTGTGCACACCAGCTGGCCTCTGCCCTGGAGCATATTCACTCCCATGGCCTGGTATACCGGGACCTCAAGCCAGAGAATGTGCTGGTGTGTGACCCAGCCTGCCAGCGGGTCAAGCTGACTGACTTTGGTCACACCCGGCCCCGAGGGACCTTGCTTCGCCTGACAGGGCCACCTATCCCCTACACGGCCCCTGAGCTATGTGCCCCACCACCCTTCCCTGAGGGGCTACCTATCCAACCTGCCCTGGATGCCTGGGCTCTGGGGGTCCTGGTCTTCTGCCTCCTCACTGGTTACTTCCCCTGGGACCAGCCTCTGGTGGAGGCTGACCCTTTCTATGAGGACTTCCTCATCTGGCAGGCTTCTGGCCAGTCCCAGGACCGGCCACAGCCTTGGTACGGCCTGTCACCTGCAGCAGACACTCTCCTGTGGGGGCTGCTAGACCCTCATCCCCGGAAGAGGAGCCCTGTGAGCTCCATCAAGGGCTACCTGGGCCAATCTTGGAAGCAGAGGGAGGGGAAGGCCGAGGAGCTGGCAAAGGAACTGGGAGAGGATGGGCTGTGAGGGGGCCAGGAGGCTCCGAAGCAGAAGATGCCGACATGGAGAGCTCTGCACTGCCTGGCTATGGCCCCTCCTCTGTCCATGTCTATCTGCTCTATATGTAGTCTCTGTCCCTCCCTCCCTTTCTGTCTCTCTCTATCTGACTGTCTCTCTCTGATTCTGTGTGTGTGTCTGTCTCTCTGTCTCTCTCTGTGAGTATGTGACGGGGATCGGGATATCATGTGTCCTTCCATCTCTGCCCCACTTGTTGGAGCCTTTTGGGGTGCCTGACCATCATGCCCTTGAGCTCACTACGTGGTTGAGGCTGGCCTTGTACATTTTTACTTATTTATTTTGTATGTGTGTGTACACCACAGTGCACATGTGGAGGTCAGAGAACAACTTGCAAGAGTCAGTTCTCTCCTTCTACCATGTGAGTCCCAAAGACTGAACCGAACTCTTGTCTGTCTTCAAGTAACTTGGCCCGCTGAGCCATCTTGCTGACCCTGGCCTTGAACTCTTGATCATCCTGCCTCAGCCTCCTGGATCCTGGAATGACAGGCAATGCATCATGCCCATCTCTCCCGCATAGCTTGGCTGCACACAGTCCATCCCACCCCTGGTCCCACCCTCCTCAGGTAGTGTCCCTCCCACCCCCAGGTAATGCTGCCACCGGGACTTCTCAGTCCTCAGCCCCACCTTTACTCTGTGTTCTTTTATTTATTTGAGTGCTGTGCCTCTTCTAACTGTATAATTACCGTGGTTATTTTCTGAGCTGCCAGGGGGCAAGGTCCTGGCTTCCAATGGGCACTACAGCCTCCTGCCCTGGGTACAGCAGCCAGCTACTGAAGATCAGCCAAATAAGCAAACACTTCTGGTCCAGCTCTGCCTCCCCTCCATAGGCCTCCCACTCTCTGTCCTCCTGCCTGTGTCTTCCCATCTTTCCATCTCACAGAGTTTCACTCCCCTGGAATCCACCTGAGTGTGGGACACCACACCCCCTTGTGAGGTGCTTTGCCCACTCTTGCCTCAACTTTTCTCTGTAAATAAAGTCCCACTGGCGTCTAGTTCTTGTGGTGCTGTGAGTCTGTCCACTTGGGAAAGAGGAAACTGGGGGGGTGGGGGGAACGCAGAGAGGAAGACAGAGACAGAGAAGAGAGAAGAGGGAGAGACACCCAGAGACACAGCACGGGAGAGACAGGGCTGAGTGATGCTGGGGGAGGACCCCCATTGGTCACTTCTGCAGGCAGTCTGAAACAACTGGTATCTGAAAATGAGGGGCCGAACTGCTTTATTTTTAAACATAATTATTATGTTTAAAAAAATTGGGGGGGTATTATTTGAGACAGGGTCTCCCTGTAGCCCCAGCTGGCCTGGAACTCGCTATGTAGACCAGGCTGGCCTCAAACTCACAGAGATCCTCCTGCCTCTGACTTCCAAGTACTGGGATTAAAACTGTGCACCACCATGCCCAGCTTGTTTTAAATTTTAAAAATATTTTCTTATTTACTATTTTTATTTAATATGTATAAGTATGTTGCCTGCATGTGTATAAATGCATCCATGTTGTACAATGTCTGAGGTCAGAAGGTGGCATCAGATCTTCTGGAACTGGAATTATGCATGGCGGTTAGCCACCATGTGGGTGCTGGGAATTGAACCTAGGTCCTTTGCAAGAGCAGTCAGTGCTCTTAAACTACTGAGCCATCTCTCCAGCACTGTTTTAAATTTTAAATTTATTTTTATCTTATGTCTGTGTTATACCTGCATGTGTATAAGTGCACCATGTCGTGCAGTGCTCACAGAGGACAGAAGAGGGAGTCAAATCCCCTGGAACTGGAGTTACTGATGGTTGTTAGCCACCATGTGGGTGCTGGGATTTGAACCTTCTGCAAGAACAGCCACTGCTCTTAACTGCTGAGCCATCTCTCCAGTCTTGAAACATAATTATTTTATTACAGTTTTAGAAGAAACAGAACCAGTAGAATGAATATGTATAGAGATTTATCAGCTTAACTCACAGGATAGAGTCTGAGCAGTCCAACAATGGCTGCACCACACTGGAGAGGCTGAGAATCCGTAGTCTCTCAGTCCACAAGGCTGATGTCTCAGTAGTCCCAATCTGGCGCTGAAGGTCTGACAAATTCCAAAAGATCAGCTAGTCTTCCATCTACAGCAGCAAGACGAACTCACCAGCAAGAAAGAAGGCAAGCAGCAAAAAGCCTGGCGTTCTGCTCTGCCTTGGTCTTTTATACCGGCTGCCATCAGAAGGTAACGCCCACATTTAGGGTGTGTCTTCCGGTTTTAGATGATCCAATCAAGAAGATCTCTTTCATTTCAGTTAATCCCAGATCCAATCAAGTTGACACCCAGGATTAGCCATCACAGTTTTATTTTTTGTGTGTACTTGAACACGTGTATGTACAAGCACATGTGTGTGCATGTATGCATGTGTGCACATGTGTGGTAGCCAGAGGACAACTTTCAGGAGTTGGTTCAACTTCCAGTAGGAGTGGGTTCTGGGGTTTGGATTCAGGTCATCAGGCACCTTTGTCCACTGAGCCATAAAATTTTTTTTCAGGGTTCTTTACATTTAATTGAAATGAACATGGTAAGCATAAATGAACAATTTCTTTTATGTAGTAGCAAAAGAGTCAATAATCCTTTCAGGAAAGAGACTATTTCATTTCCTCCCAATTTAGATTCACCATAAATTTGATCCACAAATTATATTAGAACCTCACCAACAGTGTAATTCAATTGTCTTGCCTGGGCAATCATCTCCATCTGAAAGATGTAGCCTTTAGAAACACACTCTTCTATTAATTTCTGTAGAACTACTTTTCTGTATAATCTGAAACTTCTGGTTAAATCCCATGCTCCTGGTCTCAGCAAAATCTGAGTTATGAAATTGGCCCCATGGCTGATTATCTTTCTTTTCAAATCCCAGCCATAGACACCTCCACTTCCTTTGTAGTGAGTTCCAGAGGCAATATCAAAATTACCTTCTTTTTTTTTTTTTTTTTGAGACAGGATCTCCCTGTATCCCCAACTGTCCTGGAACTCACTATGTAGAACCGGCTGGCCTTTAACTCACAGAGATCCGCTTGCCTCTGCCTCCCCAGTGCTGGGATTAAAGGCATGTGCTACCATGCCCAGCTAATAAGGCTTTTTTAATCTAGTAAATTTCTGGGCACACACAGTACAGTGACTTTTTTTTTTTTTTTGGTCTTTTTGAGACAGGGTCTCCCTGAAGCCACAGCTGTCCTGGATTCACTATGTAGACCAGGCTGGCTTCGAACTCACAGAGATCCGCCTGCTTCTGCCTCCCAAGTGCTGGGATTAAAGGCGCGTGCCACCACACAAAGCAAAATGACCTTCCTTTTGTTTCCTGATGAATTCAGGAATAAATTTTGTATGGTGTGAAAGGTCAGCGTCCATAATGATGACATAGTTTCCTGTGGCATGTTTTTTTCCATGAATATAGGCAGTTCCTAGTCCCAGCTTTTTCTCCTGCGGTCTGAGGAGAATTCTGTCTGATCTATAGATCTTTTCCAGCTGCTCAGCAACTTCCCTTGTTCCATCTGGGCTTCCGTCATCTATGATTATAATCTCATAGTTGATTGCACTGTCGGAGAAGCTCTTCTCCAGCAGCCACACGATGAGCCGCAGGTTCTCGCGGTCGTTGTAGGTGGGCAGAAGCACCGAGAACTTGTCCTGTCGGGATGAGCGACCCTGCAGCTGTCGCCGCGATGCCGCAGTGCTATGATTCAACTCCGCGGAGGCCATGACAGAACTTAAAAATATATTTTTTAAGACTGGGTCTTACACAAATCAAGTTGCCACTGAACTTGCTATGTAGCTGAGGATGGCCTTGAACTCCTGAGTTCCTATTCCTATTTGCACCTCCTCTGAGTGCTAGGGCTTCAGGTATGCACCATCATACCTGGTTTATGCGGTGCTAGCCATCCAACCCAGGGCTTCATGCATGCCAGGCAAGCACTCTACCAACTGAGCTACATCCCCATGGTATTGATGTCTTGAAGTATGCAGTCCTGGCTGGGGAGATGGCCCAGTCGGTAAAGGGCTTTCTGTGAAAGCATGAGGATCTAAGTTCAAGTCTCCAGAACCCCATAAAAAGCCAGGCCTGGTACCCAGTGTCTGTAATCCCTGACCCAAGGATTTTCCCCAAGGAGGGAAAGATAGGCAGATCTCTGGGGTTCACTGACCAGTCAACCTAGCCTAATCGATAAGCCCCAGGTCTCAGTGAAAGATCCTGACTCAAGATCCAGAGAGAGAGCTCTGCAGGTAAGGGTGCTTGCTGCCAAGTCTAATGACTTAAGTTTGATTCCTGGCACCTACTAGGTGCAAAGAGACAACAGATTTCTGCAAGTGGTCCTACACACAGACACATACACACACACACACACACACACACAGTGCATAGACGAAATAAAATGTAATAAAATTAAAAACAAATAGGTACACAGCTCCTGAGGAGGAACTCCCATGGTTGACCTTTGACCTACACAGATATACACATATATATATATATATATATGCACACACAACTGCACACACACACAGACACCTACCCATATACCTATATACATGTGCTGGATACTTTAGTGTCAACTTGACACACCTGGGTTGAGGGAGCCTCAATTGGGGAATTGCCTTCATTGGACTGGCCTGTGGCCATCCATGGGGCACCTTCTCAATTGTTGAGTGATGTGGGAGGGCCCAGCCTGCTGTGGGTGATGCCACCCCTGGGCAGGTGGGCCTGTGTTGCATAAGAAAGCAGGCTGAGCAGGGGTCAGAGGAGCAAGCCAGTAAGCAGTGATTGTCCATGGCCTGTGCTGCAGCTCCTGCCTCCAGGTTCCTGTGCTGAGTTCCTAGCTTGGGCTCCCTGATGAACTGTGACCTGGGAGATGTAAGCTAAACAAATTCTTTCCTCCCCAAGTTGGTATTGGTCAGAGTGTTTTGTAACAGCAATGAAGAAACAAACTAGGACAATACACATCTACACATACCTACATATACACACAACTACACACACCTACACATATACACACACACCTACACAGATACATACCCACACCCACACACAAATATCTACATACTCCACACAGACATCTATATACACACCCACACACAAATATCTACATACACACCCCCACACACCTACACACAGACATCTATATACACACCCCCCCATACCTACACGCAGACATCTATATACACAAACACACAACCACACACATGCCTATACACAAATACACATACCTACATACAGATACCTATACACACATCTACATGTAGACAACTACATACACATACCTACACACACAAACTACACATATTTACACACACAATGACACACATAGAATCTGGAAGATTCTATGAAGGAAGTCTCCATGCATGTATGTGCACACGTGTGAGAGACAAAATGGAAGTTTGGATGCTCTTCATTGCATGTGGAGATAGAATGTAGTATGTATTTCAGTCTGAGCAGTGTGTGCTACAGAACTGTGTGCATGTGTGTGCTGAGGGCAGGCAGAAGGACAGTCTGAATATGACTCACTCTGAAAGTGGACATTGGATATGTGTGTCTGACAGACCTTGAACCTTTGTGTGTGTGTGTGTGTGTGTGTGTGTGTGTGTGTGTGTGTTTGCTCAGTGCTTGTGTAAGCACAGCGGGTAAGGAAGGTCAGGCAGGCGCCTCGGCCAGTTGCCATCCATCTGGGCCCTCTCTCCTTCACGCCTTCCCCCTCACCCTGGCCCCTTCTTGGCAGTGGACGTGTTTGCAAACACTCGCTCTTCCGTGCCCTGCTTGGCTGCAGGCCTAGAGCAAGGCTACAACTCAGGGCTGGATCGTGTGTCACTTGCTCCCTGGCCCCTGAACACCCCCAGAACTCCTGCTGCGACTACGACGTGCTGCCTGGTAGGGGGAAGACCAAGTGTGTGCAACCATGTGGGATGACCCCAAGGATCCTTTGACTCTGGGTTCCAGTCAGAGCAGTAGGGATGCCAGTTGCTGTCCTGGGCAGCCAGTGGGGCCCCTTGGAACAAAAGGGCCTTAGGAGAAAATAGATGGGGTACAGAAAGACGGGCTATGTCAAGACCTCCTGCCACCTCTTCCTTGGGTCTGAAATGGCATGATCCATCAGGCCAAGAATGTGTCCCATCAAAGCTGGGTGACGGGGCCTGCAGAGGGCCAGGGGGCGGAGGGGCCCCCTGCACACGTGTTAATTGGTGCTGGCAGCTGAGGATTAGCTGGAAGGTGATGATGACCAGGCAGGGACCTGAGCAGCTGGAGAGGACAGAAGATTCCCCCAAAGTTCCTGAGGGAAAGGACAACACTAATTAACAATGCTGGGAGCCAACAGCAACGCTTAGCATTAGGGAAGCAGCTCACAGTGCTGTGTTCCAACCCAGGCACACCTCTGTTGATAAGCTGCAGGGGTGTGAGAGGAGAGGCAGAGGGGAAGGAGGGGGAGAGAGAGAGTGGGGGAAAGAGAGGGGGGAGAGAGGGCGAGCCAGAGTGCCATGAGGGGATGAGTGTGTGTGTGTGTGTGTGTGTGTGTGTGAGGGTGAGTCTAAGAGCTAGTGTGATCCCTGGAGTGTGTTGATATGAATGTGTACATGAGTTTCTACGTGAGTGCAGAAGTGTGAACATGAACATGTGTGTGGTTATGGATGTGCATGTGAGTGTGCACATGTGAGTGTGTGTCATGTGTGCACACATAGGTGTGCGTGTCATGTGTGCAGGAGTATGAACTTGAAAGTGAGTGTGAACATGAGAGTGTGAGGTTATGAGTGTGTATGTGAACATGTGCACGTGAGTGTGCCTATTGAAAGTGAGTGTGAACAGGAGAATGTGTATACGCATGTGTTGGTGTGAGGGTGAGTGACAGAGCTAGTGTGACCACGAGTGTGGTTGTGAGTATACAAAGGTGGGCATGAATGCAGGAGTGTGCTGGAGTGAATGAGTGTGTGTGTGTGAACATCAAGTGGGGTGTGATAGAGGGTGAGCATGAACATGAGTGTACAAGAGTTTGTGAGTGAGTGTGAATGCAAGTGTGGGTATGTGTCAACATTCGAGTGTGGCAATGACAGTGACTGTGGATAGGAGAGAACATTGGGAGTGAGCACAGGTGTCAACATGAGAGTGCATGTGCACTGGTGTGTGGAGATGACACATATATGTGAGCATGGGTGAGCATGAGTGAGTTTGGGGTGGGAGGGTGGTGTGGGGGTGGTAAGTGTGTGGTGGGCAAATATGAGTGTGCAGTGATGTTGGTGAGATGCTTACCCCTCCCTTAGAGCAGACTGGAAGTGGGTCACCAGATTAGTGAAGACACACAAACACCTTCAGACCCAGGAGCGTAACCCTGGCCCAGAGACAGATAATCATGCCTGAGGATGTGAGAAGCCCACCCCTCACACAAACGCAGAACTTTGAAAGGCAGTCTGCCAGACACCCCACCAGAGCTGTGCCAGACCCAGCAATTCCACTCCTTGGAGAAGTAAGAACTGAATAAAAGTTTACACAGGAGCCTGGGGCGATGGCTCAGAAGGCATGAGAACCCAAGTTTGGATCCCCAGCACCCATGTAAAAGGCTAGGTGCGGCCATTACCAGCCAGTCATTGCAGCCCTGGGGAGGCAGAGACAGGAGCAGCCCTAGGGCTTGCTGGCCGGCCAGTCTAGCCCAATTGGTGAGCTCCTGGCTTAGTGAGAGACTCTGTCTCCCCAAAAAATAAGGTGGATTTCTGCACTCATGAGCTCACAGATGCTGTGGTGACCTGCACACACCTGTTGTCTGTGAAGACACAACAAATACCTTCAGACCTGTGGTCCGTGGAGACCTGCACAGACCTGTGCAGGTTGCTGAAGATTGGACCCTTCAACATTTCTCCACGGGTGGGGGTGGGATCATGGGGCCCCACCCCTCCCTGAGGGACAAATGGCAGTTAATTGTTGATGGGATCGGGGGCGGGGGGGGGTCACTTTCTTCAGTGGTGAGCCACTCAGAAGTTGCTCATGCTCCAGGAAATAACATCACATCCCCCATACACAACCATAATTAAACTCAGTGGGGAGAAAAGAGTAGGAAACTAGTTGGAAGAAAGGATTTCATTGAGAGGAGGAGGAGGGAGGGTAGTGGGGGTACAACCTTTGTGTGTGTGTGTGTGTGTGTGTGTGTGTGTGTGTGTGCGCGCGCGCGCGCGCGCGCATGTGAGTGCATGTGGAAGCCTCAGTGGCTCTCTTGGATTCGATTCTTAGCACCCACGCACAACCATCCGTAACTCCAGTTCCAAGGGATCCAACACCCAATTCTGGCCCTTGTGAGCACTGCACATACATACGGGCAAAATACACACATAAAATAAGTAAATAATAAATAAAACGAAATAAGAACAAAAGGCATACAAAGGAAGAAAGCTTTCTCTGTTCTTTTGTCTTTGTGTCCCTGTCTCTGTGTATGTGTCCTCTGTCGTCTTCCTAGGCCCCCTGAACCCATCTAGGGAAGCAGCTTCCATTGTCTCACTGGATTTCACATACAATATAAAACGCAAAATCAAAATTTTTGAAAATGTCAAAGGCTGGTAAAATGGCTCCGCAGGTAAAGGCACTTGCTGCCAAGCCCGATGACCTGAGTTTAATCTTTGGAACCTACATAGTAGAAGAAAGGAGAAAACCAATTCCCAAAGGTTGTGCTTGGACTTCAACACACACGCTGTGGAACACATGGACACACACACACACACACACACACAATAAATAAACTTATTTTAAAAACAGGGGGCAGCTAGAAAGATCTCTCAATAATTAAGGGTGCTGGCTGCTCTTACAGAGTACCTGGGTTCAGTTCCTAGCACCCACATGGCGGCTAACAACTGCCTATACTCTAGTGCCAGAGGATCTGATTCCCTCTTCTGGCCTCCGCATGGGTGCACTCCCATACCTGTAGAAAAAACGCTCAGGCACATAAAATAAAAATAAATATTTTAATTTTAAAAACACTTCAAAAACAAGGAAAAATGCCAAGACAACAGCTACAAAATGAGCAATCTTCTAGAAACTTCCCACTCCTTGACCCCTGCAGGAAAAGGGGTCAAAACTCAGCCTAGAGCTAGTATAGAAAGTCAAATGGGGTGCTGGAGAGATGGCTCAGCAGTTAAGAACACTGATTTCTCTTGCAGAGGGCCGGGGTTCAATTCCCAGCACCCACACGGTGGCTAACAACCATCCATAAGTCCAGTTCCTGGGGATCCAATGCTCTCTTCTGACCACTGCACGACACTGGTGCACTTACATACATGCAGGCAATATACTCATACACATAAAATAAAAATAATAAATAAAATTTTAAAATAAAGAAAGTCAAATGGTTCAGCACGCTTTCTCAGAGGTAAGGAAAAAAAATGGGGGGGGGTGACAAGGTGTTATGTAGTCCAGTCTGACCTTGAACTTGCTATATAGCCAAGGATGACCTATCTTGATCTCCTCATCCTCATCTCCCACCTCCCCAGGCCTGGGGTTACAAGTGCACGCCACCATACCTGGTTTACGCTGGGGATGAAATCCAAGGCTTCATGCACACTAAGGAAGCACTTCACCGACAGAACTACACCCCCAGCCACAAACAAGGAATTTTAACCAGAGGTACAAAATGTAGGTTTGATTCGGCGGGCCTCGGGGCAAAGTCTGGGAGTCTGTCCCTGACCAACTCCTAGAGAGCTGGGTTCTGGGTTTCCCTCTGCTATACTTAAGGGGCAAGGTGTGTGCTGATGTGATGTTATAGTTACATCTCCAGCGCTCCCTATAAACTTCCTAGTGCTATTTATGAACCCAATTCTTTACTGTTTTCTATGTCAGCAGTCAAATATCAAGTGAAACAACAGAAATGTATCTTGTTTTGTGTAAAATCTCTCTCTCTCTCTCTCTCTCTCTCTCTCTCTCTCTCTCTCTCTCTCTCTCCTCTCTTCTCTCTGATTAATGGAGCTGAAGTTTTTGGTTTTTCTGTACCCGTTGAACCTGCTAGGCCTACACAGCTACTGTTTGGGTTTGTTGCAAGCTGGCGGGCAGACACAGAGTTCAGCTGTCCTGAGGGAGGTATCAAGGGTCAGGACCAGCATCGGGTGGGGTTGGCTGTGGGCCCTGAGGCCAGATGTTTGGGCTTAGCTGCCCAGCCAAGCAGGGATAGAATGACAGAGTAATTAAGCACCCGGTTGTTTGGAGCTGGCAGAAGGTGACAGGGGGTGGAGGGACCTTGGGCCAGATCACTCACTACACCCACACACCCCACTGGTTTGCAGAAAGGCCAGCAGCTAAACGCCAAGCTGGGCTCTCTGGTACTTTTCCGGGAGATGACCCATAGCTAGGGTTCACCTGCTTCCACCAGAGGATGGAGATGTTTTATCCTAAGCTGGGGTACTGCTCTATGATATCTCAATGACCTAGGACAGGAAGGAGCAGGCAGCAGAGGCCCTCCCTTTTCACCCTCCCCAGAGTAGTCATCAGCAGTTATTTAAGTCTTGGGCTTAATGAGATCTGGGGACCAGAGAACTCCCCCACTTGTCTTTGCCTGTTGGCAGGAGCAGCCACCCATCCATCAAGACCCCCAGGGAATTTTCCCTCTCCACACCCAAGTCAGTAACTGGACCCTGCTGCCCTTTGTGAGAGTACGGGGGGCGCCAGGTACCATCACCTTCTTTGACCTCTGAGCCATGCTCTGGTCTGGGAAGAGGAGGAAGAGGGATTGGTTTCCTGCCTCAGGATACAGGGACCAGAAACAGATTGGGGGGGGGGGTCTTCCAAGCCGTGCCTCAGTTAACAGACCGGCAAGTAGAAACACAGAGATGGCAATGGGCCTGCTCAGATCACTGAGGAAGGGGAAGCCATAGAAGATGGAAGTCCTGATCCCGCACCCCAGGACAAGGTCAACACAGGGGACTTTCCATTATATTCTTCCAGGGGAGGGTCCCAGCTCTCCTGTGTGGCCTTAGACTAGGAACCTGCCTTCTCTGAATCTTAGAGCCCCTTCTGAAATGGAGATCAAGGTTCCTCCCCTGCAGGGCTGGGGTGAGGATGAGAGGCAGGCAGTGTAGCACTCTGGAGGTGGAGGAAGGAGGGTCAGGAGTTCAAACCTCCACTGCACTGTGAATTTAAGGTCAGTCTGGGCTACATGAGATCACCACCACCACCCATCCCCGCCCCCAACTCTCAAGATTTCACATGGTGTTAGGCATAGGGGATGGAGGTCAGGAGACAAATTACAAGAGCCAGTTCTCTCCACCACTTGGATTCCAGGGATCAAAGTCAGGTTGTCAGGCTTGCACAGAAAGTGCCTTTATCCACTGAGTCATCTTGTCAGTTCTGGGATCATTCTTGGTAACTGTGCACATACACACAGCATCTCTGTCCTTAAATGCCATAACTCATTCATTCTTTACAATCACCCTGTGAGCTTAGTGTGATTACTAGACCCATTTTATAGAGAAGAAAACTGAGGCTTTGAGAAAGTAGGAAAAATGTCAAGAGTTATATAGCTGCACACAGCCAAGCCAGGACTCAAGTCCAGTTGGTGTGACAAGGGCATGTAATACTGTCTTAAGAGCCAGGGCCCTGGATTGGGGATGTTGTTTAGTGGGTAGAGTGCCTGCCTAGCATGAAGGAAGCCCTGGGTTCAAATACAAGGGCAAGGGTCCTGAGTAGACAGGCCTGGGCTGCCAATCAAGACTGCTTCATGGTCTGAAGCATATGTCCAGACTTCTGCTTCAGCACTTAATCTGTAAAATGGACGTAATATAATAGTCACTATTGTCTCATGTACACTTCAGAGCCTAAGTACTCTCAGAAGCGCTAGTCTTTCATTCTGTTGTCATCACAAGCCCATGAAGCATGCGCTATTATTATCCCTCTTTATAGGTGGGGAATGGAGACTAAGAGGCTCCAGTAGCTGGCGCAGGTCCACGTCTACCAAGGGCTCCACCCCGGCATCCAGGCTGAGAGTGTGTCTCAGCACCTCATCTGCTGAGCCACAGTAAAAGGACCCTCCCCAGCCAGTGTCTGCAGAGATGGAATGCCAGCCGGCTGAAAAGCTGTGACACAGATTCACCCAAAAACTGCTAGTCACTGTGATGGTGATGCTACTCTGTCCATTCAAAGGTACTTATGGATTGTGTACTCTGTTCTCTAAGCTGGGCACACAGCAAGCAAGACAGCTTCCTGTCCACACAGAGCTCCGTCGCTGTCAGGATGGCCATCATGATCACCACTGCGTGATCCTCCATTGCTGTACCACACTAGTGTCCTCAGGTTACCACCATCACCTTATCATAATCCACCATCACCACCGCCCCAACACTATTGTCATCACACCCATCGCCACCATCATCATATCATCACTGTCATCACCTTCACTGTCAACACCATCAGCACCATCACTACTGTCATCCCCCTCCTCATCCCTGCTGCCATCATCCATCACCACCACCAGTACCTCATCATCATCACCACTAAAACCACCATCACCACCGCCATCATCACCTTCACCATCAATATCATCATCACAATCTCCAGTATCACCATCATCATCGTGCTCATCACCACCACCACCACTCCATCACCACACATCATCACCTTCATTACCATCACTACACTACCACCATGCACTAGCACCATCACATTCATCATCACCACTATATCACCATTACCTCATCATCATCTTCACCATGGACACCATCATCTCCATCACTATCACCACCACACTCATCATCACCTTCACCATAATCGACACCATCACCACAATCATCACCGAAACCATCATCACTATTATCACTACAATACCCTTTACCATCGTTTTCACCATGAACACCATCATCATAATCTCTATCATCACACTCATCACACCATCATCACCTTCACCATAATCAACATCACCAACACCGTCATCACTATCACCACCTAAACTCCATCACCTTCACCATCAACAACATCATTACATCACCATCAGCACCATCTATTGCTTCATATTCATCATCATCATCACCATCACCATTATCATCATCACAAACACCATCATCACCATCACCACTTTCACTCTATCACCATCATCACCTTTACCATCACCAATATCATCACCATCTCACCATGATCATCATGACCATATTATCACCATCACACCATCACCACCATCAACATCACTGCATCACTGTCACAGCTCCATCCTCCCATCCATAGTACTATGACCCTATCATTATCATGATACCGTCAGCACCATCACTACCACTATTTCCTTCATGTTCATCATCATCACTACTCTCACCACCATCACCATCATAATCCTCACCACCATCATGATTACAGCCAGCATCATCACACCACCATCATCACTACTACAGCACATTAGTATCCACAAATCAGGATCAATCTTATCAGTCTGTCTCTCCAGGCTCCCCGGAAACATCATCCACACTTTCTTTTTCATTAAATATTTTGGTTTTCTTTGGTTTAAGAATGTCTTAAGCATTCCAAATTTTGGAGTGGCTCACACATCCCCCCTCAGAGGCCTCTCCTCCTCTGTGGTGGTGATGGTGGGCATGGGTGTGCTAGGGGGCCACGCCAGTCTCTTTACAGTCTCACCTAACTGCCCCAGACCCTGGGCAGCCTCTACCAATCGGACCAGCCCCAGCCCCAGGGCTTGACGCTCCTGCCGGTCCTGTTCCAGAACCTGGGTCAGCCTCTGCAGTTGGTCACCCACCTCCCTCACAGCAGCCACCAGCTCCACCAAGATTGGTGGCTCACAAGCCATGACTCTTACGGGTGGTGTTGGGGACACACATGGGCCAAGAGGGCCTGGAATGTGATCAGGGCTTGGCCCCAGAGTGTGGTGGTCAGGGGAAGGTTGATCCAAGGGGTGGACCATGGAGGAGAGGTGAAGGTCAGGGTTCACCGTGGGGTCAGAGGCTGAGTGTGGGGTCTGAGCAGATGGGCTCTGACTGCTGAATGGTTTGAAGTCTTCTGTGAATGGTGGGTCCATGCTTGGAGCTGGAGAGGGTTTGGAAGGGTCAGAGTCTGAAGCTGGAGAGGGTTCTAGATTCTGTACATGGGATGTGATTGTGTGAGGGGCTCCCACAAAGATCAGGTCGGGGTGCAGGCTCGGCTTGCCCCTCACTGCTGGAGGGGGAGAGGAAAGTTCTGTCACCAGGGAGGGTGGAAGGGACTTTGTAGTGATGGCAGGAGTTGAGCTGTGGTGAGTGATGGGAGGTTGAGGATCTATGGTGGGGTGAGGGATCGTGGTAGGGTGGGGCGTGGTGGTGGGGTGAGGGGGAGAGGTTGGGTGTGTAGTGATGGTGGGGTTCGTGGGGAGGTCTGAGGACTCAGAACCCTCTGGTTCTGTATGGGGGGGTGGCGTTGTGCCCAAGTCTGGGGTTGTATCGGATCCTGGGGTCACCTCTGAGGTAGGGAAAAGGCTGGTCCCCTCTGTCAGTGCAGAAGAGTCAGAGGTCAGTCCTTGGGGTGAGGTGGATGGTGGGCTGGGTGAGTGCTCCGGGGCCAGAGCTGGAAGTAAAGTGACATCCGGCGTAGACAAAGCAAGATCAGATGTCATCAAGGGGGTCAGTCCTGGGGTGGCTGGAGACGCGTCTGGAGGGCCAGTGGTCACCTCCGGCTTTGAAGCCGTGTCTGGGATGAGTTGTGGCCAGGAGCCAGAGGTCAGCTGTGAGTCAGAAGGCCCCGGCAAGGCAGAAGGGCTTGGGGACGATGTGGTGGGCGCTGTCCTGGGTGCAGTGGGCCGCAGCAGTCGGCGCTCAGGACTTGGCTTCCTAGGTGAACCTGGAAGAGGAGGAGAGACTGAGATCCGCCTGAGGTCAGGCTGCCCTGCCCACCGTGTCCCGCACTGCCCACTTGAAGAACCGACCAATGGGAAGGCAGAAGGATGTGTGACATCATGGGTCACCAGCAGATTTCACTAGGCCCTAGTGCCCCTCCCTCCTTGCCTCCTCTGAGCCTCCTGGCGCCACCTGGGGTCCTCTTCAGGAAGGTGCATGGATACAAGGTATGGAGGAATCAAGATGTGGGGTCACAGGGATGCCCTGGACGTAGAGGAGAGTAAGGGGACCAGAGACATGTTGATGCTTTGGGGTGCAGAAATATGATTCTTGGGCAGAGGGCTGGGGCTGGAACAGAGAGCCTTATGCTTGTTAAGCAAGTGCTCTATCCACTGAGGTACAGGTCCAGCCCAACATAAATGTTTTCATTTTGTTGTTCTGATCAGGTCCCACTATGCCACCCAGGTCTTGAGTTCTGGATCCTGATTCCAGAATTTAAATTTTGGTATTTAGTTCACCATGGATTTCTTTTTGCATAATTTATTATTTATTTTAATTACTTTTAGTACTTTAATTACTTTTATTTTGTGTGCATATGTGTGTGTGTGTGTGTGTGAGAGAGAGAGAGAGAGAGAGAGAGAGAGAGAGTGCTTGTGGGTGCATGTGCCATGGTGCATGTGTGGAGATCAGAGGACAACTTTGTGGAGTCAATTCTCTTCTTCTACTATGTGGGTCCTGGGGATCGAACTCAGGTCTTCAGACTTGGCAGGGAAGCACCTTTATCTGCTGAGCCATCTCACCGGCCTGTGTGTAAGGTTTTCTACATATGCTCACTAATTTAGTTCTGTCTCTCCTATTTCTGAAAGTCTCCTATTTGTGTCTTGGTTGATTCTGTCCCCCCATCACTTCCTTACCTCCCTCTCTCATGTTTTTTTAAAATTTAATGTGTATGAGTGTTATGCCTGCATGTATGTAAATGTACCTGTGTCATGAAATGCCCGTAGAGGCCAGAGGAGGGCATCAGATCCCCTGGAACTGGAGTTGGTGCCATGTGGGAGCTGGGATTTGAACCCAGGTCTTCTGCAAGAGCAGCCAGTGCTCTTAACTGCTAAGCCATCTCTCAGCCCTGTCTCTCGTGTTTTGAGACAGAGCTTCACCCTATAGCCCAGGTTGGCTTCTAACTAGATCTTGCTGAGTAGTGTAAGCTGGCTTCAACCCCGTGATCCTCTGACCTCTGCTCCCTGAGAGCGGGGATTACAGATGTATACCTCCATGTACTCATGGCTTGCTTATTCTTTTTCAGGATTTCCTATTAGCCATGTGTGGTAGCTCATGCCTGTAATCACAGCTCTCTGGAGGATGAGCCAGAATGATCTCAAGTTTGAAGCCCATTTGGGTTATAGAGTGAGTTCCAGGCCAGCCTGAGTTACACAGTGAGACCCTGTGTGATAACTAAGTTTCACTGTCAACCTGACTAGATTTGGACTTAAGGGACATAGCTCTGGATATGTTTCTGAGGGTGGTACCAGCAAGGTTTAACTGAGGAAGGAAGACCTATTTTTAAAAATTTTTTGCTGGCCTTGAACTCACAGAGATCCACCTGTCTCTGGAAGACCCATCTTAACAATGAACAGCACTAGCCCCAGCACTGGGGTACCAGACTGAATAAAAGAAGAAAGCAAGTTCAGTCCAAGCACTTATCTCCCTCTACTTCCCGAGATGGGATGGGATGTGACCAGTTGCCTCACGTGCCTGCCATGCCTTCCCCACCATGATGAGCTGCACCCTCAAACTATGAGCCCCCGCCTCCAAACCTCTTCCCTCCCTTAAGTTGCTTGTGTCCAGTATTTTGTCACAGCAATGGGAAAAGTAACTAATATAGCTTGTCTCAAAGAACAAGACCAAACACAAAGTGACAAACCACATTCCTTACTATTTTCTTATTTGTCACAGTGACTTGCAGAGTCTAGGCTCAGGCCTTTGTGGCCACCCTACTGACATTCTGGTCTGTGTGATCCTTTGCTCTGAGAGACTTCCCACACATTGTGGGATGTTTAGCACTATCCCTGGCCTCTACCCATTAGGTACCAATGAAGGACTAGAGGTGTGGTTCAATGATACAGTGCTTACCTAGTGTGTGCAAGGTCCTGGATTTGATACCAGGACCATTAAGAAAAATATTAGGTGTCAGGATAGCTCAATGGGTAAAGGTGCTTGCCCACCAAGCCTGACAAACTGAGCTCATCCCCAAGACCCACTAGATGGAAGGAGATGGAAGGTGACGGAAGGAGAGAATAGACTCCTATAAGTTGTTCTATGACATCCACACACACATGCCATGACACATGTGCCTCCCTCCCATAAATAAATGCAGAAAAAAATGGAATATTAGATACCAATGACTTCTGGCTTCCAGTCATGACAACCCCAAATGTCTTTGGACATTGCCATGTGCCTCCTGGGTAGAAGTTCTCTAAGTGAAACACTTCTGTTCTAAATAATAACCTTTGTTACAGGCCATTCCTCTGTTGGTCCCCTTGGGTTAAGAGTTGGGTTACTTCTGGGAACCGTCTCTCCACCTCACAACACCTATTCCCCAGGACCCCCGTCTCACATATGCCTCACCTGGGTCCCAATGAGCCCTTGGAGCTGCAGAGGGGTGGTCTGGAATTTTTGGGGTGCCAGTCGTAATAGTGGTTCCAGGTCTGGTTGTGGTGGGGGTCCCTTTAGACAGACCCCTTCCTGAAGGTGTGTCCCATGTCCAGGAAATCTTATAACGACCCTGGTCACCTGCAAAGATGTGAAGAAAGAGTTGAATCTCCCCTCTTTTTTGACCCCACTTGCTTAGCCCAGGGCAGACGTCATCACGGCCGGGACTGACCCATCACTCAGCCTCCTCTTCAATTTTAGGTCACCTTGGCCAACAGTCAGGGCGCTCTTAGCCACCAGAAGCAACAACTGACAAAACCACTTCATAAAATAAAGACACTTATTATTTTGGTTCCCAAAGCCCCCGACCTTATAGGGTGAAAACCCTCATGACTATAATGAACCACCTGGAACATCTATAATTCTATTTATAATTCTATTTTTCAGGTAGCACAGACTGGCCTTGAACTCACTATGCAGCTAAGGCTGGCCTTGAGTTCCTGATCTTCCTTTACAATTATGTTTATAGAGGCTGGAGAGATGACTCAGCAGTTAAGAGCAATAGCTGCTCTTGCAGAGGACCTGGGTTAGATTCCCAGCACCCACATGACAGCTAACAACCATCAGTATCTCCAATTCCAGGGGATCCAACACCCTCTTTTGGCTTCCACAGGCATTGCATACATGTGGCGCACTTACATACATGCAGGCAAAATACTCATATACATAAAAATAAATAAAGCAAAAAATTAATAAATCACATGATCTATTTATTTGTGTGTGTATGTATGACATGCATGTCATGGCACGTGTGTGGTGGTCAGAGAACAACTTAGGGGAATCAGTTTCTCTTTCCACTATATGGGTCCTGGAGATTGAACTCAGACCATCAAGGTTTGATGGCAGGTGCCTTAACACACTGAGCCATCTTGCTGGCCCAGATTCTTGATCTTCTTACCTCTACCTCACCAAAGCTGGGCTTACAGGCATGTACCACCATGCCCAGTTTTATGTGATGCTGGAGATGGAATCCAGGGCTTCATGGAATAAAGGAACCACTCAACTGAGGCACATGCCCAGCCCCTAGAATACTACTTTCATATGCTTTTTTTCCCCTCTGAATACTCTGGGAGAGTCTTTATAGAACAATTTTGTTTGGTCTTTTTGAGACAAGGTCTCATTGTAGCCCGACCTGGCCTGGAACTCACTATGTAGACCAGGCTGGCTTTGAACTCACAGACTTCCACCTGCCTCTGCCTCCCGAGTGGTGTGATGGTGCACAGCTTTAATCTCAGCACTCAGGAGACAGAGGCAGGTGGATCTCTATGAGACCATGTCCAGTCCAGTCTACATAGCAAGTTCCAAGTCAGCTGGGGCTATAGGGAGACCTTGTCTCAACAAACAAACAAGCAAACTCTAACCCCCCAGATAAATATAAAATTTAAATAAGTAAATAATTTTTTTTTAAAGTCTGGACTATGCAAGTTTTCCCTCATAGGCACTTTTGGTCCTCTGAGAATTCCCTTCCTGGGCAAGTTTTCCCTCATAGGCATTTTTGGTCCTCTGAGAATTCCCTTCCTGGGGCCAATAAGAGGCTTAGCAGGTAAGGGAGTTTGCTGCCAAGCACAATGACCTGAGTTCAAAGCCAGAAGCCACACAGTGGTAGGGTAGAAGGAGAGAACTGACTCCTGCAAGTTGTCCTCTGATCTCTACACATGCACCATGACATGTACACACATGATATGTACATACATACACAAATTAATTGAATAATTAATTAAAAATAATTCCCTTCTTGCCGTCCTCTGTTGGAGAATACCACGTTTCTTTTTATATTTTTATTATTTATTATTTTATGTGTATGTGTGTATTGCCTGCATGTAGGTAAGTGCACTCATGTCATGCAATGCCCGTGGAGGACAGAAGAGGCTGTCAGATCCCCTGGAACTGGCGTTACAGACAGTTGTTAGCTGCCATGTGGGTGCTGGGATTCGAACCCGGGTCTTCTGCAAGAACAGCCGGTGTTCTTAACCACTGAGCCATCTCTCCAGCCCTGAGAATACCATATTTCTGTGACGTTTCCTTGATTTCTTTATTCTAATTAGTCTTGGTGTCCTGCAGCTGTCATTGGTTGGCAGTAAAGAACTCTACCAGCCAATGGTTTTCTGTTCTCAGTGATTTCACAGTGTTCACAGTGCTTCTGCTCACTGGATTAGGACATGCACCCAGCTGGCTCTGACCCCCGTGCAGTCCTGACTGGAGTCTGTTGGAATCAAACTCTAGATTCCTACTTCAAACACAAGCACACATCTCATCCCAATGAGTGAAAGGCGTGAAACAGGTTGACATGATAGTGCATGCCTGTAATCCCATCACTTGGGAGTTTGAGAGTGAGTCTTTCCTGGGCTACATAGTGACTTCCAGGATAGCTTGGGTGACAGAGCAGACTCTGTCTCAAAAACCGAGAAGTTCGAGCGTGGTGGCGCACCCCTTTAATCTCAGCTCTAGGGAGGCTGAAGCAGGCCAATCTCTTAGTTTGAAGCAAGTTCCAGGCCATCCAGGGAGACCTTGTTTCAAAACAAAGCAATAAAACAAACAAAACACAAAACAAGAGTTAGAAGATAGTTCAGTCTGTAAAGTGTTTGCCTTGCAAACAGGAGGACCTGAGTGTGAGCCCCAGAACACACTTTTTTTTTAAGCCAGAGAAAAAGAATCGGGCTGGAGAGATAGCTCAGTGGTTAAGAGCACTGACTGCGGGGCTGGAGAGATGGCTCAGTGGTTAAGAACACTGGTTGTTCTTGCAGAAGACCCAGGTTCAAATCCCAGCATCCACATGGCAGCTAACAACTGTCCATAACTCCAGTCCCAGGGGATCCGACAGCCTCTTCTGACCTCCGCAGGCATTGCACAACATGGGTGCACTTACCTACATGCAGGCAATACAAGCACACACATAAAATAATAAATAAAACGTTTTTAAAAAAGAGCACTGACTGCTCTTGCAGAGGACCCGGGTTAAATTCCAAGCACCCACATGGTGGCTATGAACTGTCCTTAACTCCAGTTCCAGGGGAATCTGAAGCCCTGTTCTGATCTCTGTGGCATTGCACGACGCAGGTGCACTTGCATACATGCAGGCAATACACTCATACACATAAAATTTTTTAAAATTTAAAAAATAAATGCCAGAAAAAAAAGCCAGGTGTGGTGGTGCATGCCTTTAATCCCAGCACTCTGGAGGCAGAGGCAGGCAGATCTCTGTGAGTTAGACAACAGCTTGGTCTACATAGTGAGTTCCAGGCCAGCTGGGGCTACAGGGAGACCCTGTCTCAAAGAGATCAGAAAAGGAAAAAAAAAAGCACGGTGTAGTGGCTCTGGGGAGGTGGAGATAGGAGATCCTAGGGCTCACTGGCCAGCAAGCCTAGCCTCACTGCTAAGCCTCAGGCCAGTGAGAGAGCCTGTCTCAAAATAAGACGGGGGACTGGAAAGATGGCTCAATGGTTAAGAGCACTGGCCACACTTGCAGAGGATCCTGGTTCAGTTCCTAGCACCCACATCACAGCCAATAACAGTCCATAACTCCAGTTCCAGGGGATCCAACTCCCTCTTTTGATCTCTTCTGACTTTACACAACATGAATGCACTTACATATACATGCAGGCAAAACACACACAAAATAATAAATTTTTTTAAAAAAAATTTTAAAACTGGGTTGATGAGATGGCTCAGAAGTTAAGAGCACTGGTTGCTCTTCCAGAGGACCCAGGTTTGATTCCCAGCACCCACATAGCAGATAACAACCATCTGTAACTCCAGTTCCAGAGGATCCGACACTCTCTCCTGGCCTCTTCAGGCTTTGCAAGATGTGAGTGCATTTACATACATCAGGCAAAATACTCATACACATTAAATAAAAATAAGTTTAAACAATTTTAAACCAGGATAGATGGTGCCTAAGAAACGATACCAGAGGCTGACCCCTGGCCTGCACACACATTGCCCATGCCCACACATTACAGTGACACACAAACATGCACACACATACATACACAAAACAAACAAAGTGAATTGTTTGAAACGGAGTGCCATCCCGAGTTCTGACTTCAAGCAGAACTTCCTTGACCTCCGCAGGTCCTTTGTTCCTAAACGAGGTGCACACAACCTAATTGCTCAGTTGCATGGTCATGGCTGTCTAGCAGAGTTTGAAAACTCTCCTTGAATCTTTCCAACAATCCTGGAACCCCAAGTGTTTCTCTGCCTCTCTCCCCGAACTCCAGAGGAAGAAACTGGGTCTCGAAAAGGCAGTATCATTTTTTTCCTTTGCTACTGAAGGTGGAGTTTTTCCTGTCCTTCACTCACGCTCTGCACTCCACACCCTCTAAGTTTTCCTGCATATAGCTGTTGTGGGTCCCTGTGTATCTGATAACCCTTTTTCTGCTCTTCCCCAACCTCCTGGGCCGGCGGCCTGGCAGCTGCAGGTGCAGCATTTGGCGGATGCCACCACAAGGGGCCGCTGCGGGACAGCGAAGCCGCCCAGAGTGCAGCCAGGCTCTGGAACCTTGTCTACACGGAGCGCCTGGGGAGCTCGTTTCCAGCTCCAGCAACCCAATGCTCACCTCTACTTCCAGTCTGATTCCTCCCCGACCCTGGCCACTGATCCCTGGGCCTGGCCCCTTGCCCGGCTCTGTACAATTCTGCCCTCCACAAGGCCGAATCCAGGTAGCCAATCAAAATGTGGAGCGCTCCCGTGACGTCACGAGGAGCCAGGCAGAAGAGTGGCAGAAAAAGGCGGGAAAGGACGCAAGCACTCCTCCTGAAAGGACAGCAGGGCTGAGACTCCTAGCAGTGACAGAGGCAGAGATGAAGAACGGGGAGGGGGGGGAGGGGTCGGGGAGGACGG